GATGATGAACCTCAAGAGGATCTCTGATGCAGATGCTGGCAAGATGTTGCTTTGGGGCGACATAACAACCCAGAGACTAGTATCTGACATCACAGACGTCCTCACAGACCCCAAGTGAGTCATCCAATTTTGACATTTTCAAATTTGTATCCCCCACACTAATGTAGTCATGATGACCACTCCAATTCACGCGTCTTAATCATCATTTACATTTTTAAAAAATACGCGTAATAAATAAAAAAAACACAGTGACCCTGACTTAACGAAAATTTGAGTCCTGGACATTACGAAGTTTGAAAAAAAAAAACCTTCCGACATTTTAAAAAGTTCCAAACACAGATGATACTAATTCTACATTATTTATATTCCCTCTAAAAAAAGTCTACTGGTAAAATAATTCCCGACATCAGGACATTTTCTGGAATCAGGAAAGAATTGAGCTTTGCTAAAATTGAATAAATTCAACTCCACTTTTTTTCATCCTCTTACAAAACAAAAAATTCTTGAGAAATGATTGAAGAGTGCATTTTTAACGTGCTTTCAACAGATGGAAAAAATTAGCATAATTTTAAAAAATCGGAACTTATGACGGGGCACTGCCATTAAATGAGCCCATCTCAAGTTCATTACCTTATACATACTACATTTTTACAAAGAAAACTGAACTGAATTTCATGTTGGAAACTTTTTCAATGAAATACTGCAATGCAAAGCAAAGAAATCAAAGAAGTCAAGGCCTTTTCAAATCATTACTTATTACTCTACATTTAAAAAAAATTGTTTTCGCGCTTTCAACTGACACACATCTAAACGCAACAAATCATATTTCATGATTATTTTTCAACAGGTATGCAAAAGCAGCCAAAAAAAGGTCAGCCATAATGAAAGACAGGGAAGAAGAACCAGCAGCAAAGGGCGCCTTCTGGATAGAATACGCCATCCGAAACCACGGGGCGCCACACTTACGGTCTGCTGGAAGATTCCTTCCCTGGTACCAATACTACATGCTGGACGTCTACGTGGTCATCTTTGTCGCTTTTTATTTGCTTTTCTTCATTTTCAAAACGAGTATTGTTCTGATGATTAAAATATGCGGGAAAATTGTCCCGCTGTTGAAAGAAAAGAAGGAGTGAATAAAGTTGTGGAAGGATTCACTTTTTTGGTGACTGTATTTTTGGTACTTTCCTGTTATCTCAGTACCTCATTTAGACCGCACTAACATCCAGACAAATCTTTATGACGAGTTCATAATCACGACAACCTACCAGAAACTGTGAATTTTATTTTTCCGCATTCTGCTGAAACTGATTTTGGGAGGCGGT